GACATGGTAATGTAAAGCTGAAGGATGGTGAGTGGTGACTGCTCATTGTGATGGAACATTCTGTGAAATGATGCACAGTATTTCTAGTCAGCCTGACAAAGGTTCAAGCTTCAAAAAGCTAGACTGTGACTATGTCTTGCTTGGTATCTTGCGGAAACACAATGTCAAGTATCAAATATTCCATGGAACTCGAACACACCGACGGAATCCTCAATCTTCCTTCAAAATTGGCTAGCAAGCTAACCCCAAACCTGCATGAAGCACCAAACCAGCACGCTGACTTTAGAGCATTGCCCTATCCTCACTCTCCGCAATGTCATTAAAAAACGGGAGTTGGCGTCCCCAAGGCGTACGCCCTAGGGCACCATGCTAAAATGTCCACAATGTCAGTCAAAAAACAAAGAGCTGCCGTCCCCAAGGCGTACGCCCTAGGGACAGCGCAACTCTGCCATCTTCACTGACCAGCGAAATTTGCGACGTCAGCAGCAAAGCGTGCCATGCCACGGACAAATTCCACTTGTGCAAAGTCATCGGAAAGAAGCCCAAAGGCGCGCAAACAACGCAGAGCCGCAAGGAATTCAGGCTTGTGGTCCCAAGAGTGCCGCCCAAGTGCCTCTGCCAACGGCCCTGCAAACACGATTGCCATGTCGCCCACGTGGTCACCTCCTGCGGTTGCATCTGGCACGATGAAAAGCTCGGGCTCCCAGCTGGAGGCAGCGAAGCGTTGCAGCAGCTCCAGTTTTGCATCACATGCGACTTGTAATGTGGCCACGAAGTCTGCGGCCACCATTGGAAACGACGAAGGCCAGAAGGAAAGCCAGGAGCGAAAGCAAGAAAGCAAAGCGATGGCGTAAGCCACCCAAGGGTGCAAGAAGGGGCCTGGAGCAGGCCACCATGAGGTGCACTCCGTTATGATGTCTCCCACAAACCGATCCAAACAAGCGTCAGTGGAATGGCCTTCCATCATGGCTGTAGACAATGGCAGTTGGTGAAGCAACCTTTGGTGCTCCATGTCGTTAAAAACACAGATCATATCTTGTCAATAAGCAATGTCTGCCGACATCAATGTGACTGAACTGTTGCTGACATGGACTGACTTAATTGGACACGGCTGTACTTGAACCACATCTGACTTGTACAATCACTGATAAGTATATCGAAGAAACGCTGACACCCACATGGATCTGCAACGCTCGTTAAAGAATGGCTAGCAAGCTAACCGTACGAGGCTCATGGAGCAGCCAACCAGCAAGCTGGCTTTGGCTTAAGTCAAAGCTTACAACAATGAATGTCTACAGCGCGCACCCTACAGATAGCGCCTGCATCAGATACGTTCGGTGCTGCTATAAGAAAACCGCGGCAATCCTCGAGCGAGGCCACCTTCGAGAAAGCGGGCAAGCTGTATCATAGTCCATCAAAACTGTCAATCACAGCGGGCCCAATTAGGCCTTGCATGGTTCGCTTAAAATTTGGTAAGGAGGAGTGTATGATGAATGTGGTAAGGAAGAGTGATGAATGAACCTGTAATGAATGAGAATAAAGTTACTATAGGTCTTGTGCATCTGCAAGCAATCTTGACAAGCAAAAGACTGCTCTTCTGATCTCGCTGGGCTCGGCACCGATCACACCAGGCACTCTGCTGAAGGCAGTCCCGCAGCCACATGCGCCGCATCCGCCGCACCCACCGGCACAAATTATATATACGTAGAAATATATGTGTATATATATATATCAATTATATATACGTAGAAATATGTATATATATATATATTAAATAAAATATGTTATATATATATATATGTATTATAACGTATGGATCAGAGGTATGGAATAGAGGTATGGAACGGATCCTTCTTATGGAACGGGGGTATGGAACGGTTGTGGTCCCGGAGCTTGTTCCGGACCTAACGTTTTGACTTGCCCTCATATGTGTGTATACTTGCCCATGTTGTGGCCCAGTGAGCCCCAAAGGCCACAGAGTCCGAGTGGTCCGAGTGGTCCGAGTGGTCCGTTTTTTTCACAACATCCTTTTGCACTTGATAGTCATGGATGGTCAAGGCAGCCTCTTTATAGGCCCACAGCTTTGAAACCCAACCTTGCTATGCAAAAGATGGTGAAATCATCTACCTAGAAATGGGTCGGTTGCCAAAATACAGATGGTACGAAATTATTTCTTTGTAAAATACAGGTGGTAAGAAATATTTCTTCAAACACCCGCCCATGCGACAAGTGACACATGAAACATCTGCCCGTGCTGGCGCGCACGGCAGAAGAATAGGAAGGCAAACACACCACGTGGCCCCAAGACACCACAGGAAGTTGGACCTGGGCGGATTGGGAAGCGCGCGCATTGGCGATTAAATAATGAATGAATGGCTTTCAACTGTGAATCCCATCTATTACTTCATGGCCTGGATTGCCTTCTTACTTGCGCAGGCTCCAAATGTTCATTATTCTTGACCTGTGGAAATGACGCAAAACCAACTAGCTGGAAAACCAAAGACCACCCAGAAAAAAGACCAAAACTCTGAAAATCGATGATGTCACCAAATTATACCCATGTTAATCAGAAAACAACGACAAACCTATGAATTCATTGGCGTTATCCATCATTTTCAATCCAACACAATCATTTTCAATCCAACACAAGCGGAGGAAGGGTTTGATGGTCCTCTCGAAGTCACTTGTTCTTAAGACATTAGATGCAACTAACCTAGTGGCAGTCTAGGTTTTTAAACTGAGGCATTGCGTTCAAACCCGAACCATCCCATGGTTGCAGCCAGGCTCTTGTACCAGACATAAGACCGAACAACAACAAGCAAACGTTCGCACCCAGCGACCCGGCTTTTCTCAGCTTGCGGTGCCTGGTCTGCAAGTTTATTGCGTTCAAGCAAAGGCAACTGTAATGACCCTGCTGCCCAGTTCGCCCAACAAACCCAGGTGCCAGAGTGCGAAAGGCAGACGCAAAGTGGCTATGGCTACCAAAAAGGGATTATAACTTATAACATGCTATAGCCCCTTATACTGGGGTGACTATCATAAGCATGACCAGCAAAAATATACAGGCGACAGGATGCAGTCTGTTCCTTTCAGCAAAAAGGTTTGAAACTCCCCGGGCATACTGCGCGACTGGTTGCGAAATTGAGCGCAGCAACAGCGAACATCGTTTTTCCCTCATCTCCCCAGGTGCGATGATGGCTTTGTGCACTTTGAAGTGACAAAGCAGCAAGGGTTCCATGCTTCCTAAAAAAAATCGTTCTTTGCATCCCGATGGATTGCTTGGAGGGGTCAAGGTTCCGGTTCCAAAATCCTCGCGCCACAAAGGCTTTGCAGAGAGAGGTCAATCAACGATTTCATGGGCGCTGTTGGCCCGACGAATTCAAAGCAAAAAAATTGGTCGTGTTGGTGAAACAAGTTTGTCTGACGCCGTGTAGGGCATAGAATTTGCGTTGATGGGTAGAGATCTGGCCATTATGAAAACAGAAAGCAAAGGTCAAAAATTACGATGGCTCATTGGTACTAACTTTCCAAAACAATTACCAGTAGTACCGCGCAAGGCGGTGGCGGAAGTTTCAAAGATAGGAAACCTATAGGAGAGGTTGGTTGCTGTGAATGATAGATGGCAGAGCGAACCCACTGATGGACCGACAAGTGGTTGTAAACCCGGGTCTTGCCGGCGTGTGGGCAGCGACCGCCCTGGTGACTGTATCATAAGCCAGCCGGGCGCGGTCGGGAGTGGTGACAACATAGAGGTCGTCCAGGTAAGCAGCTAAGCACTCGGTGGGGAGCAGCTGTTCCGCTGCCCCGGTGAGCGCGTCATGTTGGCCAAGCGCAAAAAGGGCCGGAGCCAGCGCGTCGCCTTGCTCGAGGCCTTCGCCATGGGGCACTCGGTGGCAAACATTGTGTTGTTCCCACCAGAGGAATTCAGAGGGGGCGCCGTACCAGGCGCGCGTGAAGGGGACAAGGGCCGGCGCGACCTCAAGCAATTTGTTGAAAACGGCCACCCGGCTGATGGTGTCGTAGGCGCTGCGGCCATCCACAGACACGACCGTTATGCTGGGGTCCGTGTCCAGGGCAGCCGACAGAACAGCCGCCAGCGCGTCGGTGCCGGCGCACGCGTGGAGCGCAAATTGGTACGGCCGGGTGGCAGTGTCGAACACCGCTGCATGGGTACGCGCGAGGGTTCGAGCAGTGAGGCGACGCAGCGCGTCGCCGGTGGCGATCCCGCGCACACCAGCCCCCCCTGGTTTGGTCAGGGCTGTTAGGCGGGATAAGGCGAGGGCGCGCAGGATGGGTTCCGGGACCGCTGCTTGGCCGAGTTGGGTCACTGCGTGTGTGAACAGCTGTAACCCTTCCTCGCTTTCCAAGAGAAGTTTGTAATGTTCCATGGATAGTGGCGCCGGAAAGTCCGGCTGCTGCTCCGCGCTTGGCGGTGCGGAGGCTTTCGGCAACGTCCCGCTGTGTGAGTTGGAGGGCCGTTGCCGGCTGGAAAGCAGGGAGGTGGTCCGGTAGAGGCCGCGTCAGAGCGGGAGGGCGGCGCTCTGGGTTGGTGAGAGCAGCCAAGGTAGCCGGCGTGCCGGGGGCGAGCGCCGCACTGGTGAGCGTGCTGCGCGCCTGCGAAAGATCGCCTGTGCGAACTGGCCTGCTGCTGTAAGGGAGGGAAGCACGACCCGCTCGCGGTAGGATGTAGAAGTGGCGAGCGTGGCGGCGTGTTGCCACCCGTGGAGAGCAAGGCTTGGTTCCCCAGCGTCGAGGCGAGGATGGGACACGGAAGGAGTGCGGAACGCTTCCCATGGAGGACAAGCTTCCCAGCCGTGCTCGCGCAAGAAAGCGCCGGCAGTTGCTGCGGCACGGAAACAGGCGCGGGAGGAGTGAGCGCCTAGAGTCAGCTGTGTGATGCAATGGTCGGCCATGCCGGGGCGACGTTGGGCTATGACTATGACTGGCAAAGCGTCCGCCCAGGCTGCCCAGTAGGCAGCTTCTCTGGGGAACCAAGCCTTGCTCTCCACGGGTGGCAACACGCCGCCACGCTCGCCACTTCTACATCCTACCGCAAGCGGGTCGTGCTTCCCTCCCTTACAGCAGCAGGCCAAGCCTTGCTACGTTCCCAAGCAGGCCCTCACACCGGCGCCTGGCTCACAGCCATCCCCAGCGCGCCGGCCACCACATTGGTTCCCCATCATATTGCAGGTGCATTGGTAGTTGTAATGCAGTTGTAGTTGTACTTGTACTTGTAGTTCTACTTGTAGTTGTAATGTAGTTGAAGTTGTAGTTGTAGTTGTTGTAGTTGTCGTTGTAGTTGTAGTGGTTGTTGTGGTTGTAGTTGTGGTTGTAGTTGTAGTTGTAGTTGTAGTAATAGTGCAGTGCAGTGCCACGCCTGCCCTGCAAAACGAAAGCAGAAAGCAGATGTCGCCAAGTGCCACGCCTGCCACGCAAAAGAGGCGCGGCGCCACAGGGGACCAGCGCCGACCAAGGCCGCCACCAGAGCCAGCCCAGTGCCGTGAGTGCCACGCCTGCCACACAAAACGAAGGCACATGTCACCAAGTGCCACGCCTGCCACGCAAGACGAAGGCAGATGTCGCCAAGTGCCACGCCTGCCACGCAAAAGAGGCGCGGCGCCACAGGGGACCAGCGCCGACCAAGGCCGCCACCAGAGCCAGCCCAGCGCGGCGCACACAAAAGTATGTGACAAGTTGTGTGTGACAATGTGGTGTGTGAGAGAGTTGTGTGTGACAATAATGTTGTGTGTGAAAGAGTTGTGTGTGACAATGTGGTGTGTGAGAGTTGTGTGTGACAATAATGTTGTGTGTGAAAGAGTTGTGTGTGACAATGTTGTGTGTGAGAGAGTTGTGTGTGTGTGTGTGACAATGTTGTGTGTGAGAGAGTTGTCCAAGTCCAAGGGAAGGCTCTTCAGTTCAGAAGCCAAAGGTTGGAGGGCGGCAGAGAAAAGCAATGGCCCAAGCGGGTCACCTTGTTGAACTTGGGCTGTGGCGTGAAGAGTGTGGCCCGGGCAGGCTGCACCACCGTGCCGAAAGAGGATCATGGGTCACTGCAGCCAGAGGTGTTGGACGTGCAAGTCAGAAGGGTGAGGAGGCACCTGCACAGCAAATCTGGCACCTGGCAGGGGCCAACCGGCCGTCCCTTCCACTGGATCATGTCTTGAGTCTTGAGCCACCATCAATTTCTCCATTGGAATTGCAAGTCTATGGGAACGCCCGAGTTCAGGCACATTCAACTCATACAAATTGTGGGTTTTGTTTGTGAAATATGTCTCTGGAACCCGTAAACATGTATGAAATGCCACGACTATGAGGAAATGGTTTCAAAATTGCGCTCTCCGGCCGGCTCCACTCTTCAACGCTGCCAGGCTAGAAAAAAGAGCCTTGCCATCCCCAAGGCGTACGCCCTAGGGAGGCTCGTGCTCGCGCTATTTCTTGCCTGGTCAGGAGCATTGTCATCCCCAAGGCGTACGCCCTAGGGAGAGATCATGCTCTTGCTGAATTTTTGCCTGGCCAGGCATTCAAGGGAGGAGTCAAAAGCATTGCCATCCCCAAGGCGTACGCCCTAGGGACAGTGCCTGCTCACGATTTCTTGCCTGGTCAGGAGCATTGTCATCCCCAAGGCGTACGCCCTAGGGAGAGATCATGCTCTTGCTGAATTCAAGGGAGGAGTCAAAAGCATTGCCATCCCCAAGGCGTACGCCCTAGGGACAGTGCCTGCTCACGATTTCTTGCCTGGTCAGGAGCATTGTCATCCCCAAGGCGTACGCCCTAGGGAGAGATCATGCTCTTGCTGAATTTTTGCCTGGCCAGGCATTCAAGGGAGGAGTCAAAAGCATTGCCATCCCCAAGGCGTACGCCCTAGGGACAATGCCTGCTCACGATATGTCTCTGTGCATGAAGAAACAAGTTCAAAATTCCGTGCCATGAATCACGACTCCTCCCTCAAACGCCTGGGCCTGGCCAGCGGCAGTTCCGCTTTTTCTTCCCAGCCTGTGGTCAGCTTCTTCTTCGCGCCCTCCTGGCCATAATGGTTCGCCCTCAAAGCCTCCATAACACCAGTGGCCAGGCCGATCGTATAGGCGCGAGAAGAAGTGGTTTGAAAGTACTCGGCCGGGTTCTGGCACGTCCAGTCCTTTTCTCGGCTGGTGCCACTGTCAACCAGCCTCATCTTGGACTTGTCCAACCGATCGTCTTGGACATCCAGCTCAAAGGCCCGGCCGTGTTTCCTTTTATCCTTCGGCACGTGCGTCCACATTGCCTCCGGGAGCGCTTCTGGAGTGCTTCCCGGGATGGCGCAGAGGACGACGGCCTTGACCACAAAATTGTGTTCTGGCTTGCGGTAGTCGCCGAAGAAGTGGGTTGTCGCGTACTTGGTGGCAACGGCGTGTGACCGCGAGGCGTACGCCCCACGGCCACACGCCGTGCCAAAGCCCTTGCGGGAATTCACTTCGCTCGCCAACACTTCTCCGATTGAAAGGGCCGAGCTCACCCCATACAGAGAAGATCCGTGCCATTCAAGAACCCAACCAGAAGACCACCGAGGCACAGGTTTGTGGAGTTTGAGTTTCTCTGCCAGACCCTCAGACACAGGAGGCGGGACTTGCAGCGGGAAGAAGCGCCACTCTTCTTCTCCTGGCCGGCAGGATGGGAGATCACCCCCAGGAAATTCAAGGCCAGGGTTGAGCTGCTTGGCCAACCGAAGGTTCACAGGCCACGCTGATGGATGTGTCATCGCTGCAAGCTCACAAGAGTTCTCGACCGAGAATTTGAAATCTCGGTTCAAGAGCCATTGTTCCACTTGACGCCAGGCGACTGCCATTGGAGCTGCCTGCTTGTAGCTATAATGCGTGTCCTGGATCCATGCCCCGACCCCATCCGATTTGGTCACCTGTTCACTTCTGACAATGTTGACCAATCCCCCCGCCATCTTCCGACATTCCCTCGGCTGCAGTGTTGGACGCCGCAAATAGGCTGGCGGCACCGCCCACACCTCCTTCTCCGGATCCACCTCCTCCGCAGTCTCCGCAGAGACCCCCATGGCTGAAGAGGATGCCGCCATGGGTAAGTGTGTATGAATAGATGTGTATGAGTATGTGTAGATATGTATGTGTCTATGTGCGCTTGAATGCATATGTGTTATTGTATGTGTTATTGTATGTGTTATTGTATGTGTTATTGTATGTGTTATTGTATGTGTATGTGTGATTGCATGTGTGCATGTGTTTGCGCATGCGCTTTTGTATGTGCATGTGCATATACGTCTGTACGTTTCAAATTTCATAGACGTTCTCAGGAGAAAGAAAGCCCTCAAATTCAGCCGCAACGACGATATCTGTGACCTGCTGCCCCGGATGAAAAGCAAACTAGCTTGTAAATGGGGGTTAAATCCCCTCCAAATATCATATGGTATGACAGGTATTGATCTATCCCCATATTAACATTTTTCTTGTTGTTTTTGGTGTTGTTATTTTTGAACTGGGTTGGGGTGGGGTGGGGCATGTTAACGTTCCTTGTAATTTGCACACATGTTGGATGCTACGTAACTGAAGGGTTGGGGTGGGGTGGGGCATGTTAACGTTCCTTGTAATCTGCACACAGGCTGTACTGCTACGTACGTAACTGAAGGGTTGGTGGGGGTGCCGGGGGAGGGTGGGTGGGGGTGGAATTGTTAACGTTTCCTGGGAATTTGCACACAGTGTTGGATGCTACGTGACGAGGGTTGGGGGGGGGTGGGGCATGTTAGTTCCTTGTTTAATTTGCAACCATATTGTAATGCTACTAGCGAAACTTGAAGGGGTTGGGGTGGGGTGGGGCATCCTGTAACGTTCTTGTAATTTGCACACATGTTGTAATCTACGAACTGAAGGGTTGGGGCGGGGTGGGGCATGCTGGGCATTTTGTTGGGTACAAAAAACGTTCCTTGTAATTTGGACACATGTTGGATGCTACGTTACTGAAGGGTTGGGTTGGGGTGGGGCATGTTAACGTTCCTTGTAAGTGGCACACATGTTGGATGCTACGTTACTGAAGGGTTGGTTTGGGGTGAGGCATGTTAACGTTCCTTGTACGTTGCACACATGTTGGATGCTACGTTACTGAAGGGTGGGGGTGGGGTGGGGCATGTTAACGTTCCTTGCGGTGAGGGCCCGGTGGCGGAGGGTGGCCGGGGGGTAGGGGGGAGGTTAATGTATTTGCCACATGTTGTAATGCTAGTAACTGAAGGGTCTGGGGTGGGGTGGGGCAGGTTAACGTTTCCTTGTAATTTGCACAACAGTGGAGCTACGTACGGAAGGGTTTGGGGTGGGGTGGGGCATGTTAACGTTCCTTGTATTTGAAACATGTGGTAATGCTACGAAACTGAAGGGTTGGGGCGGGGGTGGGGCATATGTTAACGTTCCTTGTAAAGTTGCCCCACATGTGTTGGGTGCCACGTTACTGAAGGGTTGGGGTGGGGTGGGGCATGTTAACGTTCCTTGTAATTGGCCAATGTGTAATGCTACGTACTGAAGGGTGGGGTGGGTGGGGCATGGTAAGTTCCTGGTAATTTGCACACAGTTGGATGCTACGTTAATTGAAGGGTTGGGGTGGGGTGGGGCATGTTAACGTTGCTTGTAAGTGGCACACATGTTGGATGCTACGTTACTGAAGGGTTGGGGTGGGGTGGGGCATGTTAACGTTCCTTGTAAGTGGCACACATGTTGGATGCTACGTTACTGAAGGGTTGGGTTGGGGTGGGGCATGTTAACGTTCCTTGTACGTTGCACACATGTTGGATGCTACGTTACTGAAGGGTTGGGGTGGGGTGGGGCATGTTAACGTTCCTTGTAATTTGCACACATATTGTAATGCTACGAAACTGAAGGGTTGGGGCGGGGTGGGGCATGTTAACGTTCCTTGTAATTTGCACACATGTTGTAATGCCACGTAACTGGAGGGTTGGGGTGGGGTGGGGCATGTTAAAGTTCCTTGTAATTTGCACACATGTTGTAATGCTACG